GCATCATCTAATCAGCACCACAATACACATTATGTGGTCTTAATTCAGGTGTCTGTGAGTCTCTGACAGCCTGATTTAAACAATACACATGAGAGAATTTAAACAATCATATGAAACAGTAACTGAGTGTAACTAGTACCTGCTGCTGGATATGTTACCAGACCAGACAACCTTTTTTTTTGTTTTTTTGGGTGGTGCTGGGGTTTGAACTCAGGACCTATACCTTCGCTACTCCACCAGCCCTTTTTTGTAATGGGTTTTTTCAAGATAGGGTCTTGGGAACTATTTGCCTTGGCTGGCTTCGAACTGTGATCCTCATGATCTTGGCCTCCTCAGTAGCTAGGATTACAGGCATAAACCACTGGTGTCCTGCAACCTTTTGTTTTTTGCAGTACTGGGGTTTATACTTAGGGCCTTGTGCTTGCTAGGTAGGTATTCTACCACTTGAGACAAGCCCCCATCCTTTTTGTTTCAGCTATTTTTCACATAAGGTCTTCCACTCGTACCCAGGCCAGCCTCAGACTACAATCCTACTACCTCTGTCTCTCACATGGGATTACAGACATGTGCCACAATGCCTATCTTGTTTTGTGAGACAGGAGCTTGCTAACTTTTTCTCCTGGGGCTGGCTTTGAACCACAGTCTTCCCATCTCTGCCTCCCTAGAAGCTGCGATTATAGGTATGTGTCACTATGTCCAGTCCAAGGAGGATTAAGAACAAAGTGCATATCCTACATCATATCAGATCACAACAGAGGTGTTCAATTCTAGACTTAATTTTCTACAAAGTAAACTGTCTTTAAAATACCTGTTTTTAACCTTTAGAATTTGCTAACACATCTGAGCCACAGAAATTCAAAAGGTACCGGGTACCCCTGTGCCATTTAGCACTCACCTCAACATGCCACTGTTTACCCATGGCATTTACCACGCGTCCTTCAATGGGCCGCCGACAAGCACCACAGATAGGGACTCCCATTTTATCGTGGCATGGCAGGCAGTATAGTTCCCCTTTGAGCTCCCGGGCATCAGCAGTCAGCTCCTTCCTATTCACAAGAAAGATACCAGCTGAATACTACTACTTCTTAGAGGTATTACTATAACAATCTCTGGTAACTTCTTTTTTACCATTAGAGATGATAAGAGTAACCTCAACTAATAGGCTTGAATAGGTTTCACATTGCTATCACAACACGATATACAAGAAAAGGTCAGATACACATCATCACACCAGTCATGTTTATCATTTCTTCTCAAATTATCAAATTACATTTCAGTTCATTTGTTTTCCTTAAAAATCATAGTGCTGGGCCAGGTATGGTGGTGTGTGCCTGTAATCCCAGCCCTTAGGAGACTGAGGCAGAAAAATTGTGAATTTGAGGCCAGCCTGGACTACACAGTGAGACCCTGTCTCAAAAAATCCAACCAAGCAAGCAAAAACACTCAAACATACTCTGTTGAGGACAGCCTTGTACTGCCTTCCCAAACACTGAAGAGTTTGGAGACTGGTTTCCATTTACTAACAATTATGGAAATTGTAACAAGCCATTATGACCCTAACTTATGGGCTGAATATGCAGCTAAGTGATGGAGTGTCTGCCTAGTTGTACAAGGTCTTGGGTTTCATGAAAACACATAAAAGCCAGGTAGGTGCCAGTGGCTCTTGCCCGTAATCCTAGTTATTCAGGAGGTAGAGGTCAGGAGGATCGAGGTTTGAAGCCTAGGCAAATAGCTCACGAAACCCTATCTTGAAAATTCAACACAAAAAAGGGCTGGAGGAGTGACTCAAGTGGTAGAGCACCTGCCTAGCAAGCTTGAGGCCCTGAGGTCAAGCCCCTGTACTGCAACACACACACACACACACACACACACACACACACACACACACACAAGTGCGTGACAAAAACGAAAAAAAACCCCAATGTATTATAAGCTAGGTTAATAGAAAATTAACAACTTTCCTATTCTAAATTAGACATTATTTTGTGCTTTTAAATATTTAGCCAGAGATAGTCCCAACTAGCCAAATGTACTTATTTAAGTTTCATCTGTTTTAAATATTCTCTAGAAGTGACAGTAATAAAAAGTAGACAGAGAAAGATCGCACAAAAGGAAGGATAGGGAAGAAAACTAAGTACGGCACAATGTGATAATTCAATCACAAAAAGATGAGGTGGCTGAACTTTTGCCAAAAATCATTTTTCTTAATTCTTAACCTATTGTCTCTCCTCCCTTCCTTATAGTACAATGTTGCATATGTAAGCTCATATTAACTACAGTAACAAATTTTATTCCACTAAAATTTTATACTATACACTGGGCAGGGTAGCCCATGCCTATAGTTTCAGCTACTCGAGAGGCTAAAACAGAAGGTTCACTTGATCCCTGGAGTTAAAGCCCAAACTAGGCAACATAATGAATAATGATACCCCTTCTCAAAACAAAACAAAAAAGGCAGGTATGGCAGTATACACTTGTAATCTCAGCACTTGGGAGGCTGAAGATAGGAGGATCACAAGTTTGAGACCACACTGTGCTACAAAGCAAGACTCTGCCTCAAAAAAAAAGGAAAAAAGAAAATTAGAAAATTCACAGCCCAACAATTTATCGTGCCCTTCTGAAGACAAAAACATTAAATATATTCCCTTTAGAGGTAAACAAGCAAAATTAAATGTATGTAATTTAGTATATTTTAAGACAATATCCTAAATACCACATTTGTAAAAGTAATATATGTTCAGAGTAAGACTCCTTCTTTGGGATCCTATCTTGGAAAAATATGGTGGCAAAAATAATTTTAGGGACAATTGGAGTTATTTTAATATGGACTGGATATTTTGATGTAAAATTACTGGTAATTTTCTTAGGTATGATAATAGTATTATAACTCTATAGGAAAATGTCCTTTACTCTTAAATGATGCACGCTGAGTCATGATGTCTACAATTTGCTTTCAAACTGTTCAGTGAAAAAGATGTTAAAGTTATGTGCACATGTGGACACACACACACACACACACACACACACACAGAGCAAAGGGTAACAGCATACTGTGTACACTCAAGTGCTGGTGAAACTACAGCACAGCATACAGGTGCTTGTTATGGAATTCCCCTGAGCCTTCTATACATCTAAAATTTTCCTCATTAAAAGCTGAAGAGAAACAATTTGGTTTGACAGAGTAACAGAAATATATATAAATGCGATTTTTCACTTTAATTCCACAGTTTGTAATACCCGCAGTTGGCACAGTTGAAATGGTCTGGGTGGTAGGGGTCATTCTTGAAGATCAGAGGCTGCTCATCAATGATGGCATGGCATTTCTGGCAGATGTACTTCCCAAGACCTCTGGCTTTCTCACGATTATGACAGGGGCGACACAGGTGTCTAAGTGGGATAAACAAGAATTTATAATCTTAAGTCCTTTCTTATTATAAAAAGAAATATGCTTCCCTATCTCTGAAATTAAAGACACCATTTCTTTAAAAAAATCTTTCAGGCTACAGGAAAAATATGTTCCACCCCAGTAACCCACTAATGGTCACAGAATTCCATCTCTGCTCACATAACCCCTGGTGGCACAGGAGGCATGCAGTAGCCCTCCCCATCACACAAAAGTCTGGGATCATTTCTGAAGATCCTAGACAGGGTTTGAGTCCCCAAACCCTAGAGCAGTGTCTCACATCCCACAGGGAAAATGCTTGTGACCTTGTAATAAATCACTGTGGCCACCCACATCCAACACAAATTGCAAACTCCTACCTGCCAGCATTCTTGACAAACCCGATGTCTGCCAGCACTTCCTGGCAAAGGTCGCAGCGGAAGCACTCCGGATGCCAGCTGTTGTTCATGGCCTTGATAACTCGGCCAATGATGAATTCACCTGAGGGAAGTAATACACACAAAGGATATCCAGTGTGGCACCCTATTTGCTAAGACTAAGTAAGGAAAAATACTTGAACCTTTCTCATAAAGAGTGACTTTTAAACTATGTCTACCAGAGTAACAAACCACATTAAAAAAAAAAAACAAAAAACGGTCTTTACTTAATCTGAGTCCTTGCTTTTGATTCTGTAGCCATATTTTAGCCTATCTACCGTATGTTTGAATCTGGCTTTCCTCTTAGTGATATGAGCTTTGTTTGTGCCTTTTGGTTATTTCTGGTCATTGCTGACACAGACAACTAAAATCCGCAACATACCTGCTTTTCTTTGTTGGTGCTGGGATTGAACCGAGGGCCTCATAAGCATGCTTGATAAGTGCATGCTCTATCAATAAGCCACACCTTCTGCACATTTTCTTATAATCTGTACTTCTTTTCTTCCTTCACTAAACCTTGACAACATTCTACTTAGGTTCTCCAATCCCTAGAAACCATGTAACAGAGCTATTAGCAATCAGCAAAGTGTTGTAATGCAAGCAAGCATGGAGCCTGCATTCCTATTGAGGTCTCCTTGTCTCTTTCCTGGACAGCCCACAAGCAAGAGGATACTATGTTACAGGGAAAGAGCATTCCAGAAGACCAACTACAGAAGTCCTAGTTACTCCCTAAAAATCTTCACTCTCCTACCTGTAAAACCCAGTTCTCTCGAAGATCGTTATTTTCAATTAGCTATATGTTACTAATAGGGAAAAGAACAAAGTACTTCTTATAATAGTTATTTATAACGAACACCAAAAACCTTTTTTTACCACTGACACTTTAATAGTGTTAAATGAGGGCTAGAAGCATGGCTCAAGTGGTAGAGTGCCTTCCTAGCAAGCACAAGGCACTGAGCTCAAATCTCGGTACTGCCAAAGAAAAAAAAAAAAAGAGGTCAATGACTTAGGTAAATTTGAAACTTAATTTATATTCAGCACAAAACTTACCACACTGATGGCAGCAAGGCGCAAAAAGCATCTGAAAATCATGTTCACAGTACTTTCTTCCTTCAAACTGAAACAGACAGTACCATCAACTTGTAAACATGAAACAACCGTAGGAGGATACTAACTGTTCTATGTTAACATACAGTAAATGCTTTTGACCTAGGAGTTCTACGTCATTTATAATTCTACTAGGATTTTGAAAGCAAATATACATTGGGCTCTTTCCACACCCTGCCATTGGTACAGGAAAGATGAGATGAACTAGCTGAAACCAGATAAGTACCATGCTGCTCTTGACTCTGTAATTAATTGCTTCTTGGCTCACAGTCTAAGGATCTGATGAATGCTACAGATTCCTCAACCCAGATAATATGCATATAATGCAAACCCCCTCCCACATTATTTTGGGTTAATATCTAAAGTTTTTCACTATAAGCTTAAATATTTACATAGAATACATATTCCAGCATATTTTCAAAAATGTTAATATTTTAAATGACCAAAATCTATAAGCAGTCGGGCTGGGTGGCACACACCTGTAATCCCAGTTACTGGTTTGAAGTGAGAACTGACTTTGCCAATTAAGTGGCAGATTGTTTACTAAACTGTACAAGCTACATCTATAGTCATCACTGAGAAACTGTACTGACAAGAGAAAGATACACCATACAAAATGGATTTTAATAATCAAACAATAGGGGTTTTCTGGCATATAACATAAAAGGAGCTCAAAGATTCCAGGGTAAACATAGCTATAACAATTCCTATGATTTATTTGTGAAAATTTAGCACATCTTAAAAAAAAACAGGCTGAGTGCAGTGGTACATGCCTGCAATCCCAGTTACTCAGGAGGTGGACACTGGGATGATCATGGTTCAAGGACAGCTCAAACTCCCTGTATAGCTATCCTTATCTCAACTAGCAAAAACCCTTGTTCCTTCCTATTATTGCTTATACTCTCTCTTCAACAAAATTAGAGATAAGGGCAAAATAGTTTCTGCCGGGTATTGAGGGGGTTGGGGGAGAGGGAGGGGGTGGAGTGGGGTAAGGGAGGGGGTGGGGGAAGGGGGAGAAATGACCCAAGCATTGTATGCACATATGAATAATAAAACAATAAAACAAACAAACAAACAAAAAGGTCAGCTCAGGCAAACAGTTGGTGAGATCCCCCATCTCAACCAATAAGCCAGGTGTGGTGGTACATGCCTATAATCCTAGCTACACCAGAGGCAGACGTAGGAAGATTACAGTGCAAGGTTGGCCTGAGCAAAAAGCACAAGATCTTATCTGAAAAATAAAGCAAAAAGGGTTGAGGGTGTGGCTCAAGTCGTAGAACTCCTGCCTATTGAGCAGGAGGCCCTGAATTCAAACCTCAGTACCACCAACATCAAAAACATAAGTATGTTATAGTTATGAAATCTTATAAAAAATTTAAACTGTTTACTTGGAAAGCATACCTTATAGAGATAAGTGTGGTTACTTTTTCTTCCCCTTTTTTTTGGTGGAACTGGGGTTTGAACTCAGGGCTTCGCACTTGCAAAGCAGGCTCTTTACTGCTTGAATCACACCTCCAGTCTACTTTGCTGTGGTTATTTTGGAGATAAGACCTCACTAATTACTTGCCTGAGTTGGCCTCAAACCATGATCCTCCTGATCTCAGCCTCTCTAGGAGCTAGGATCATAGGCGTGAGCCACCAGTGTCCAGTGTTCCTTTGGTTTTTATGAACCCATGGTAAACATAACTTACAAGGAGCAGAGCCAGGGCTTAACTTTAACCTACTTCTATTTTCTTTCTTGACTTTCTCAAGACAGCACTGGGATCTGAACTCAGGGCTTTGAGCCACACCTCCAGCCTTTCTTGCTTTCCAGGTTATTTTTTAGATAAGGTCTCACTTTTTTCCTGGGATGGTCTGGAAGGATTTATAATTCTGGTAAATTTATTTTATGCCAGAAAATAAATACTTTTAAAAAAATTCAAATGAATGAGCTCTAATATATCAATGTATCCATTTTTACAGCTTATTAATGGAAAATAATAAACCAATGTGGTATTACTCAATATGTATAGCCCAAGGTAGAAGTTACTTGTAAAATGAGTCCTATTCTTGATGAATGTATGTTATGTGGATGGATATACATATGTGTGTGTGTGTGTATAAGTTTAGCTTTTAGTAATTGAAAAAAGTTTTTTGCAAACATAAAACTCAATTCCATTAATTTAGTTAGAAATGATCAATTTTATTGTGTATCATGAAAGAAAATGCACGTTAGTAAAAAAGCAAAACAAAACTAGTCTGGCAGTTAACATATACTATATTTGTTAAGAAAAAAGAGATTATCAATATAAAAATTGTATAAAATTAAATTAGGACTTCAATTTGATATATTTTTTTTTGAGGTGCTGGGAATGAACCCAGGCCTGGGAATCAAATCCAAATCCAGAGCCTCACACATTCTAGGCAAATGCTCTACCACTGAGCTACAGAACTCTGGCCCCTGAATAAGAGGTAGGACATTGTAGAAGCTAAAAAACATTGACTGCAGATCCAGACTGCATGAGTTTCAAATGCTGACTGCCCCACTGACTTGCAATGTGGTATTGGACAAGTTGCTTTATGTCAATGCCTACTGAATCACAAAGCTATATTGCTTTGGCTGTCCTTTGAGCTCACAGCACACCCTCATCATGCTCACAATTTCTTGCCACTACTCCTTTTACTTTAGTCTCACAGGACTCTTCCTTAAAAATGATGAGTTCTTTTGAAATTAGTCAGGAGTGAAAACAGACAAAATCCTAAAAGGAAAGATGTCATTTATACTCCCCTCATCTCCCCATATATTTGAATACAGAACATTCAACACAGTTCCAGAAAGACATGGAGCAGGGAAACATGCAAAGTCAGCACTACCTCCTCCTATCCTGTTTGGCAGGTGTCCTAGAGCAATTCATCATAATAGGATTTGAGATTCCTTTCCTTTGTAAAGTGGAAGAAGCAAGTGCTACTCTGAATACAAATGTATTACCAAGGCAAACCAAAAAGGATTCAGAAATGATTCCCTTGTAACCATCGATATACCAAATCCTATGCTGCTCTAGGGTGTGAGCCCCAGTAGGAGAAGTACCATCTCATTTATAAGTGGAAGGTTTCTGCTATAATGAGCTGTCTTTCCACAGTATGTAGAAATGATCAAACATAAGGGCTCAACTGAGTCCAAACAGTCAGAAGTTGATCCAAAGTAAAACTCTAGAATACAAAATCAGAAACCATAAATTTGGAAAAATCAAACTTCCATAAATACTGTCTTTCTAGGTAAGTATACATTAAACCAAAACTAATTTAAAATAAGAATATAATAAACCTACAAGAAATATGAATGCTCCAACTAGTAGTGTTGAAGCACAATGCTGAGTCCTACCACCAGTTGCACAGAGGTTTATTCAGTGAGGGTAAAGATGAGCTCCAACCAGCAATAGTTCTGCTTCTAACTGTTGCAAGCTCAAGGATTTCCGTGAAGATTCCTTTCAGAGAGAAAAGGTAACAATTCTGCTTTAAACTCAGAATTGGAAACTTATTTAGTCTCATTCCAAGACAAGTCCAAGTGCTGAAAGTTCACTTAGTGACTTATGGCTGTTTGTTGTAAGTGGCTCCGCAGCAAGTAGGCAGCAGATAAGCTAGTTTGGGAGCTTCTTCCACCACTCTTCCCTTCTATCTGAAAAATCAGGAGACAATATTAGAGGAAACGAGTGATGAAATTGCTTTGTTAATGACTTTTCCATTAAACCACTCACTACAAATGGGTTTTTCATGTTAATACATTTTGTGATAGGGAAAAATGGACACACTTGGAAAAATGAAACAAGGAGAGAGAATCTGAAGCATCAACAATCGTGACAGGCCAAATGAGCCGCACACCAGGTTCCTGTGTAGGTCTTTGCTTTGAGGGTCAATCCATAAACCAAGCTTGAAATATTCCTGGAAGTATGTCACTCTATAACTGTTGGTTCTAGTGGGAGGTAGGGTCCTGGCTAAAAGGGCATTTCTTCCAAGAAATGGCATTTAATCAGCCTTCCCGTGCCACCACTGTCCTGGTTGCTTTACAAATAATTTTTTCATATGCATTGGAGGAAAACAGATTTTCGTTTGAATATAACTACAACACCAAACTTAAACAACAGTAATCATGTTACTTGTGCGTTTACACAATATAACTGGCCTTGTCTGAAAATGATGGAAAGAACCATAAATTTTACAGAATTGCCATGAAAATTGTATACACTCCTACCACACTCCTAGCTATGATATGGTCTATACAGCATACTATGGCAAGTTGCATGCTTTCTATAAATAAACACCCAATGCATGGGTGAAGCAGCAGTGATGGTTGTGTATGAGAGAAAATCACCTCAGATATGAAGCATCTAAACCATTTCAGTTCCAGTGAGAGGCAGAGCATTACAGTGTAAGGAAAACAACTCTGGAGACAGCAGACCTAAGATAAAACCCTGATTTAACTATCACCAATCAACTGTGAGCAAGATCTCACATTGGCCATATATAAACTGTAAATGGTAACATCTAACTTGCAGGGTTCACCTAACAATCAAATAGAAGAACAAGAGTTTGTAATATACACAGTGCAGTGACTGGTTCATTACAGGAATAAACATTAACACAGTACACAAGTCTTCTAAAGTTAGCAACTGTACAGTACTTACTCCTACACAGAGTACCACATTCCTGGCAATGTGAGGGAACAGAAGCATAGGGGCCCTGACTTTGAGAGTCTTGTGAAACTAGGAAGCACCTTCTCAACCGGAGCTCACGGGGGAGTGCCATCAGTGCTGTTGTTTTACTTTTGTGAAGGTGTTGGGGATGGAACCCAGGTCCTTGTACACTCTAAGCAAGTTCCCACAACTGAGCTACACTGCTGTACTTTTTTATTTATTTATTTTTTTTTTTGTGGTACTGGGCTTGAATTCAGGGCCTTCACCTAGAGCCACTCCAGCAGCCCTTTTTTGGGAAGGGTTTTTTTGAGATAGGATCTCGCAAACTATTTGCCCAGGC